TCTCTTGTTGCAGAGCACAGGCTCTAGGCGCGCGGGCTTCAGTAGTTGTGGCATGTGGGCTCAGTAGTTGTGGCGCATGGGCTAAGTTGCTCTGCGGCATGTGAGATCTTCCTGGACCAGGGATGAACCCGTGTCCCCTGCATTGGCAGGCAGATTCTTAACCACTGTGCCACCGGGGAAGCCCGTAGCTGCCTTTTTAACCTCAGAACTTCTCAATCTCCTCTTCTCCCCTCTGTTCCGTCCCAAACCATCCTATATAAAAGAGCATCCCGCACCCTCATCCTGGTACTCCTCTCACCCTTATCCCTTCCATATCCCTTCAGTGTATTCAGTACCATCCAGGGTGTGTGTGTGTGTGTGTGTGTGTGTCTTTATGTTTTTTCATGTCTTATTCCCTTTGCCCCCTAAGAACATAAACTGCACAAGGGCAGGGACTAGGTTTGTTCCCTACTATCTCCTCAGGGCCTGGCACATACTAGGTGCTCAAGATATATTTGAAGGAATTTGAGAAGACATCTGCCTCCATTAAACAATAACAGGTTGCTATATAAATTTGAAAAAGAACATTTAGGTAACAAAAAAGAGCTCCTGGAAAAAGAAGACATAAACACAGATGTAGAAATCTCACATAGAGTAGAACAAAATGTCAGCACTGAAAAACAGGAGGGAAAAGATAAGAAAATTAGGTGATCTTTCTAAAACATCCAGTTTCTGAATAATACACAGGCCAAGAGAGGATAAACAATTCAAGGAAACTTCCTGCAACTGCGGCTATAAGTTTTCTGACTGACAAGGCCTACTGAGTGCCCAGCACAACGAATGGCTCATAATCACTAGATTTCAGAATACCATGGACACAGAAGATCAAAGAAGCATCCAGAAAATGAGACAATAAATAGGTTTCACAAAAAGAATCAAGGGTTAGAATAGCACTGGACTTCTTACCAATACCAATGGAAACTAGAAGACAATGGATCAATGAGTTCAAAACATAGAGAAAATAATTTCAAGCTTGTACTCCTATACCCACACAATTGTTAATTAAGTATAAAAGTAGAATAAAGCCGTTTTCAGACATGAAAGGTTTCAAAAATATTTACTGCCATGGCTTCTTTCATAAGAAGCTAACCAGAGGATACAGTTCACTAAATGAGAGATTAAACCAAGAATGAGGAAATTATGAGATCTAAACACCTAAGAGAGAGGTGAGAAGAACTGTCCACGTGATGGGGAGGGATATCTTGCAGTGACAGCTGTGCAGTTGGCCCACTGAGCAACCTTTCCAGATTATGTCAGAAGACTTGGAGAGATAATTCTTCAAGAAATTAAAACAACAGTCTACTTAGTGTCTTTGGATACACTGGATATTGGACATTTACACAACTAGGGAACAGTCTGAAAATACATATGAAGCAAAGCAAATGCAAAGATAGGTATTAACTTCATAGAAAAGAAAGAGGGTGCAGGAAAGGAAAAGGAATCATGGTATACTACATGGCTCAGCTTTTACACAGCTTAATGTAAGTGCCAAAAATAGTTACAACTGAAATTAACTATATTGGAAGGATGGGGGGATTAAAAGTAAAGATGTGTGGAGTGGGGAGTAGAAGATGGAGAAAAAGTCAAATCCTTAGCCAGTATAGAAAGACAACAAATAATAACTAAAACTGTAATTTGAAGTTAAGGAGGTAAATGATCCAAGAATCAGCTAACTTGTAAGTGGTTGCCTCTGGGGACCTGGAGGCTTAGGGCTTCTGTTTTTCATAAAAAGAACTATTTGTCTCTTTCACTATCTGCATATACACCTTTGGTAAAAATAAAAATTATGTCAAATGGTCTTACCACACTGAACTAGTAGCGGAAGATGACTAGATACAACTTTTCAGAAGGACAATTTAACGATGTGTGTTAAAATGTCAAATGTGCACACCCTTTGACCCAGCCTTTGACCACTTCTATGAACTAAGAAAATCACTCTACAAGAGGAAAACGGCTGCACGAATTAGTATATTCACTGGCCACTGTTCATCCTACTAAAATTTTAGAAACAATCGCAATTTTATGCAATAAGAGACTAAGTAAAACATACATACTGGAATATAATGCAACCATAAAAAATGGAGTTATAATCCATATTTACTAAGACGGGAAGACGTCAACATTTTGTTGAGTCAGGGCAAGAGTTAAAGAACAGCAGTTCATACAGAATCTTCAATTTTCTAGAACCTCTTCTCTTCCCCTAAACGGCCACGTGGCTTTCTCATTGTATTCAGGTTTTCAAACATCTCCCCGTCAGAGGGGCTTTTCAAGACCACCTTCTCTAAAATAGCCAACTCTTCCCTGACAGCCTCACCCTGGATTCTTTCACCCAACCATTTAGCACAGACCCAGATCTCCTGGGTTTGAATCCAAGCACAACTGCTCGCTACCTGTGTGACAACAGTCAGGTAAAGTCTTTGTGCTTTGGTTTATTTACTCACATGAAATACAAAAATAATAATAGATACCCAACATTTATATGTTGGGAAGAAAACTGATGTAACATGTGAGTGTGCTTGCTTGGTGCAAGTAAAGGTTCAATACACGTTTGTTATCAAAATTAACTCTCTTTTGTCCTCTTCTGGACGATGTGAATTTCTTTCATGGAGAAAATATATCTTTTCCACAAAAACAAGACACTTCTGTTAAAAACAGTTTTACTTCAAAAACTCGAGACGACAAAGAAAGAAAAATAACATATAACCCCACCACTTATCAATTATATAAATAAGAAGTCAATTCATCTCTACCCTCCAGTTAACAACAACCAAATTTTTTTCTGTTTACAGACACACATATATTCATATAAATCCTTTTTTATTAAATAAAACCAGGATTGTGCCACTTGGTGTTTTTTTTTTTTTTTTTACTTTTCAATATACTTTAGGGACTTCCCTGGTGGTACAGTAGTTAAGACACTGTGCTTCCCCTGCAGGGGGCACAGGTTTGATCCCTGGTTTGCGAACTAAGATCCTGCATGCCACATGGCGTGGCCAAAATATATATATATAGATAGATAGATAGATAGATAGATAGATAGATACACATGCATATACACACACATGTATATATACATACATATATTCTAGACATGGTTCCATCACCTCATTCTTTCTAACTGCTACACAGTATTCTATATGACATGTAGGTAGATTTAAGTATTCCCCTATTAATGGACATTTAGAGCCTTCCCAATTTTTTGCTACTACAGTGCTACAATGAATATGAACACATACTCAACCTAATAAAGATTCCCAGAAGAAGGCTGAATTATAAGGTATGGATTTTTTTAAATTAATATTTAATCAAATTAAATATGGAATAGATATGAAAGTATTTATAACATTATAAAACAACAATACAGTAATCACCACACACCCATCACCCAGGTTAAACAATCACTGTGTTTGAAGCCTCCCATCGCCCCTCCCTGATTCTATGGCACAGAAAACACTGGAGTTGCCATTTCTCAATTTTTCCCCTTTTTTCCTCTATTTGATAAAGGAAACTAATATCTCATTATTGCTTCATTTTTTATTTATAGAAATATAATATAATTATTAGTAAGTATAGTAACTTCTCATAGGTTTATTGGCTATTTGTGTTTCTTTTTCTAAAAATCACTTGTTCTTTTCCTTTGTTCATTCTTCTACTGACTTGATTAGGGCATTTTACTTTCTGATTTATAGAAACTCTTTGCAGAGTAGGGATATTAACCCACTGCTATTACTCATGCTGCAAATAATACTGTATCTTTTGTCATACAAAGTTTTACATTTTTAGGTAAATAAGTCTATCAGTTTTCCTTCTGGCTTCCCAAGTTTCAGTGAATATTTTCTCATATATTCTTTAGATTTTTTTTTTTTTTTTTTTGTGATATGCGGGCCTCTCACTGTTGTGGCCTCCCCTGTTGCGGAGCACAGGCTCCGGACACGCAGGCTCAGTGGCCATGGCTCATGGCCCCAGCCACTCCGCAGCATGTGGGATCCTCCCAAACCGGGGCACGAACCCGTGTCCCCTGCATCGGCAGGCAGACTCTCAACCACTGCGCCACCAGGGAAGCCCTAGATTTTTTTTTACATTTAGATCTTTAATTGATGTATATTTTATATTGGGATATGGTGGGAAATGGGGCTCTTTTTCTTCCAAATGCAGAGTCAGTTATTCCAATAGCGTTTATTGAATAATTCCTTTCTCAACTGATGTAAAAACCTTATTGTGTCTTATGTAATTTTCATATATATATATATATATATATATATATATACACACACACACATACATATATATGTATACATATATATATATCTGTATGCACATGTGTGTATGTACTTGTATATACACACATACACACACGTATATCTACAGGCATACCTCATTTTACTGGCCTTTATTGCACTTCACAGATACTGCATTTTTACAAATTGAAGCTTTGAGGCAACCCTGCCTCGAGCAATCTATCAACACCATTTTTCCAACAGCATTGCTCACTTCATGTCTCTGTGTCATGTTTTAGTAATTCTCGCAATATTTCAAGCTTTTTCATTATTGTTCTACTTGTTTTGGTGATCTGTGGTCAGTGATCTCTGATGTTACTACTACAATTCCCTGAAGGCTCAGATGATGGTCAGCATTTTTTAGCAATAAAGTATTTTTAATTAAGGTATGTACATTGTTTTCCTAGACATAATGCTATTGCACTTAATGGACTACAGTATAGTGTAAACATAATTTTTACATGCACTGGAAAACCAAAAAGTTCCTGCGACTCACTTTATTGTGACATCTGCTTTATTAGAGTGGCCTGGAACGGAATCCGTGGTATCTCTGAGGTACGCCTCTGTGTGTGTGTGCACACACATATGATATATATGGTAAACACATTTGTTCTGGACTCAGTTCTCTTCCACTGCTCTAAGCCTGTGTAACACGATGGAGCGAGAGCAAAAGAAATCACTCACCTGTCCTTCTTCATCAAAAGCCATAACCACCACAGCAGCTCCAAACTTTTTAATCTTTCTGGCCTTCTCCAAGAAGTCATCCTCTCCCTCCTTCAGGCTGATGCTGTTAACAATGCACTTCCCCTGGCAGCACTTTAACCCAGCTTCAATCACAGCAAAATTGGAAGAGTCGATGCACAAGGGCACCTGAGGTCAGAAGGGTAAGGTGATCACAGAAAGACTATAAGTTACCACAAATCCCCTTCCAAGGACCCCCAGATATTCCCTCTTTCTTCCTTAGGGAAACAAGAAACAAATAACAGTAGTGTGACAGAGATACGATTTTAATCTGATTTTAAGCCCTTGTTCCTAAAGCCCAAAAGACTTGGAGTAATTCCAGTCTCACAAGAGACCCCATGCATGGGCCAGAAATTGATAACTCAAAAGATCACAGCTAAACATCAGAATGAAAGCACTGAAGCACTGAAGTCATTTCACAGGCTCCCCGTCTGATTCAGACTTTGAACAAGTCATTTAGCTTCTCTGTACCTTAATTCGCAAAATATTTACTCCCAGAGGACCGTGGAGGCTTTTAAGTGAGGAGTTGAAGACAAATGAAGGACAGGTTAATGTAATTCACTGCTTACCACAAGACTTCTAACTTACACATTTACTAAATGAAGCCTAACAAAAAATTTACAGCCCTATCTCTTAAAGCACTCTAGGAGGTGTCTTTCAAAAAACAACACCAACAATAAAACCAACTTCAAAAATCACTCCTCATCACAGATTCAATGGTAGAGAAGTGAAGTGAGACTTCTGAAAGTTTTTAGAATCGATCTAAAATTTTTGAAAAGATGGACACTAAAATTAACTTTCATCTTTTAAAGAACAAATGTAAAAGCTGACATTAACACCTTGATTTAATCTTGTTTTATAAGTCTGTCTCACTCTGATAAACCTAAAAAGGTCTCTTCTTCCTGCAATAAGGAAGGATTAACTGAGTTCCCTTGTCTGTGACAGGAAGAGAACTAATGATTCGGTAAGAACAGTAAGTATATCCTTCAGAGACATGAAAAGTTGGTTCTTAGCCTAGCCAGACATCAGAGGAAACTCAGTCAATCCTTGTGACCAACTCCGGAAGCCTTGGAAACAGCCACACTGAAGTCACATCTCTCTCTAAAGTCTGGTTTCTATCGAAAGGCTGACATTAAGTGAGAAAACTAACAATCAGAAACCACTGGGCTTTCAACACAGGACAATAGAAAACCAGTGTATGACATGACAGATGAAGGGACAAGTGACAAAGTTAAATGAGCGACAGAGCAGCACATGTAAACTCCCTTGAAGAATCAAGGTTTTGTATGACCTTGGCAATGTCAGGCTCGGAAGCGATGAAGTTGCAGAATCTGGTCATTGCACTTGGTCCATCCAGCATGCCATCATCCATGTTGATATCCAACACCTGGGCTCCCATTTCCACCTGCATTTTGGCAACGCTCAGAGCTTCCTGAGGACAGAATTCAAGGGGAACGAGCATTGGGAGAGGGTGACTAAGAGAAGGCTGACAAAAGTAGTCCTTCACCACCCCCAGCAGGCAGTCCTTTTAGATTCCACTAGACTGCCTGGCCAGCACCCCCGAGCCTGAGCCTGCTCTCAACCATCCCAGATGAAGCTTTCTTACACATCGCTTCCATCACAGCGGGTCGCTCCTCAGAACCCAGCAAAGCTCGACTCTTCCTGTAAAGAGCCTCTAGCCCTCAGCCTGGCGTTCCGGGCCCTCTGGGACCTGCCCCATCTTCTCATGCAACTGAACTTCTCGCCCATCGCCCACTCCCAGCACCCTCCACCCAGCCAAATCTGTTTCCACCTCTGTGTCACAAATGATGTTCCCTCTGCTTCCAACACAATCCCCTTCCTTCCTGTACTGTTTAAGATCCAGCTCAAGTCCCATCTCCTCCAAAAAAAGTCCTTAGAGAAACAGTCCGAAACTTATCTAACTCTTCAGTGTTTGCCAAAACATGCAAAGCAGTCATTGTAGGCTGTTGATAGAAGTTAAATGAAATATGCGTATAAATAAACTTCTTCTGTGCTAAAAGGATTTTCAAATCCTTTGATACACTATTATACACCGTAAATCTACAAGGACAAGATACAATACACAGCATTTCCCACTTACAGTCATTTAAGGAATATCTTGTAGGATCAGTGTTCCAGAGAACATACTTTGGGAAACACTGCTTATTCCTCAATGACCGGCTTGCCTCTAAACATCTGTAACTATTATAAACATTATCACATGGTGTATTACATTATCATTTCCTTGCGATTTCACGAGTATTAGCTTATTCTCCGAAATAGATTTTAAGCATTTGGAAATCTAGAAAGGTCTTAGGTATCTCCCACTCTCATTTGAACAATACTGGGCAAAACAGACATGTTCAATAAGGCTTTCTAACTGACTGGTACAGCAGAGACTTTAAGTCTTTGTTGCACACTTCATAGTGTCATAAAATAAGCAGGGGTAAAATCAACGGTAGATTCTGATGTTGTCCTAATTTTTTCTTAGCGAAGAAACCAAATAGAAATTTTTAGCAATCACTGTAAAAGAATAGGCATGAGACACTTTGGCACAGGCTGCAAGGAAAGACCACTCGTAATGACACAAGGTTACACAGAGAAAAAGGATCGCAATAAAATTCAGCAAAAAATGTTTTCAGTATCAGCAGTATGTTAAATATTAATACCATAAAGAATAAAAAGAAGTATAAGTCACAGTCCCTGTTCTTGAAGGGCTTTCATCTAGTTGGGGGCATATGATGTAGTCACATGAAAAGCTACGGGCACTGCCATACAACGTACAAGTCAAATGTCCTGCCTAAACACCAGGAAGGGCAAGATCTCTGAGGACTGAAGTGGAGAAAGCTACCTGAGAGGGAGTAGCTTCAGCTGCCCCTGGGAAATGGACTGGAGGGAGCACAGGGGGGATGGCAAGTGACCTGGTTAGACCAGAGGTCAAAAGACACACAACACAGATGCCAATGCCTGACCTTTCTACATCAGAAGAGCCACAGAATCACAGCTCAGTGGTCCAACCTTCCCAAATAGGCTCCAAGAGATGAAGTGATTTGTTTAAAGGTGTACAAGTTGGGCACAAAGACAGGATTGGACCTTCTCTCAGGTCATTCCCTTAACCACAGAGCCTTGAGGGGTCACTAACTATGGGGAACTGGAATCCAGTGAGGAGCCACTCCTCCCCAACCCCCTCCTACTTCCCGGGCTCCTTAGAGACCGAGTTTAAGAATCCTATGGTGAAACTACCTTGCAAGCTCTGTGTTTGTTTAGCTTATTTTACAGTGAACAGAATCAATAATACCACATTAGTCAGTGTCTGATGTGGTCATGAGGAAATGAATAGGAATTGTCTTGGCTTTCCCTCTTCTTGGAAAGATTTGTGAGAAGCCAAAATGAAGAGTATCCTCAAATTTTTAAATGTATTTCACAATTAACAGAAATAGCTAGAACCTGGGTGCCTCCCATCTCATCCCACTTCATACCCTGGATGAATTCTTTTGAAAAATATTGACAAGGGCAGCTATGACTTTTCGAAGCCTCATCCTCCCACCAGCTCTGCCAGCTACAAACACACTCTACCATTCTTCTCACACTTCCCAGCAGCTCTGCTAATGATTATCAAAGACAGAGCTGTTTCACTTGCGTGTTGTCTTAGCCAAAAACCTGGCAGATGCCTCAAGGGTCTTATTTAGATACTCACTTCATAATTTCCTGTCATGATGAGTTTAGCAAACTTCCTGGATCCTGCAACATTACAGCGCTCTCCAATGTTAACAAAGTTGGTGTACGGGCCAATCCTGAAGGGCTCTAAACCTTGAAAGGAGAAGCATTTTGAAAATTTTCTGAAAATGCATGTAATGACATGAGACAGACAGAAAATAAATGTTTTCATGAGAAAGAAAAGAAGTTTCTGTGCCACAGCCCCTCTGACTAGCTAAGGAGACCCAAAGGGTCATGGCCATCCCCCCTAGGGATATTTAAACACAACAAAAGGCTCTATGTTTATAACCAGAACTCTCAAAGGAAGAAATATTTTAGGGTTTTAAATTGCAAATTTCTCTCAAGAGCTGAATCATATCAGCTCTGAGAAACAAGGAAAAATTATCATCATATTCTTATGTAACCAAGAGCCTGGGGCAAAAACCAAGAAGTTAGAATCTAAGGACTGCTCTACAGCTGTCCATTCAGACATCGGCTTGAAGCCTGATGGAGCAAGCGTTCTTAATCCCACCAACAGTGTGTTTAGAGCTTTATCTCGTCTCTTTGATCCAGAAGCCAAGAATAAGTAACCAGCAAGGCCTAACAGGGTCACGAGGAAGGACCTGGGCTGAGCCCTGGGAGATGGCTGACTCTGGGCAAGCCACCTGGGCTTTCTGCTCCTCCTTCCTTATTTGCAAAGGGACAATATCATCTCCACTATTACAGGCTGATTTAGGGGCAAATATCAGATAATTAATGTGCACACATTACACTGAGGTAAAAAAGCAACATGCAGCATACAGTACCGCTACAGGAAAAGGCCTTTAACTGGTTTTGTTCTACTCATTGTATCTACAGTATTAGGAGCTAGATCTTGCTAGATGGTTACAAGCAGGCTCTCGGGAAGCCAGCCTTAGGGTCTGAGCCCTGCACAGCCGACTCAGTGAACACTCTGGGGCACTTCTCGCAGAGCCTGCAAGCTTATAAAATAGAGACAGCAGAAGTATCTGCCTCACAATGTTACTGTAAAAATGAGACTAGGTAACATTGATAAGCGTTATCAAGCTTATAAAATTAGCACCAGCTGTTCTTGTTAATAAAAGGAAATGGCTTTTGAGTCCTTTCCAAAAGCATTGGTTGAGGAAGAAACCGACATGAGGGAGAGGAAAATAATGAAGATAGGAAATTACAAAACTATTCCAGGTCTTCTGTTCCCCGACTGGGAAGACTATCACTTGCCAGTTTGGGCTGTGATTTCCTTTCCCATTGGTAACATCCTCACAGCCCCTCCCCTCCATGTCGACCCTTAGTCAGACCCTGGGGTTCCCAGGGCAGACAAGCAGGGCTGCCAGCATTTAAATGGCGAACAGAACCTGTGGTGTTGCCCTAAAAGCATTTCACACAAAGCATTTCTGATCTATTATGAATGTGAAGTATCTGACACAAAAACTGCATTGTTCTCAGACTTCCCTGGTGGCGCAGTGGTTAAGAATCCGTCTGCCAATGTAGAGACACGGGTTCAAGCCCTGGTCCAGGAAGATCCCACATGCTGCAGAGCAATTAAGCCCATGCGCCACAACTACTGAGCCTGTGCTCTGGAGCCCGCGAGCCACAACTACTGAGCCCACATGCTGCAACTACTGAAGCCCGAGCAACTAGAGCCCGTGCTCCACAGCAAGAGAAGCCACTGCACTGCAACGAAAAGTAGTCCCCGCTCTCTGCAACTAGAGAAAGCCTGCGCACAGCAACAAAGACCCAGCGCAGACAAAAATTAAAAAATAAATAAATAAGTTTTAAAATTTTTACATTGTTCTCAAGTCTGCAATTTATAAAAGAACAATTAAAAAGAGTATATTTGGTGCCATTCTTTTAAAATCTGATTGAAGGTGATTTTTAAAACAATTTAGAAATAGCACATGAAATTCAAATCAGAAGAAAGAATTCTTTCATTCTTACACACAAACTCTTTAAAAATCATAACTAAATGGTTCTTTCATGTTTCCATTTTGGCAAAGGCTAACAATTTCAACTTAGTCCTTGGCTGAAGTCAATTAATAGCTTTAAGATCTAAGGTTGAAAGAAACTATCCTACCACACCTTTCTCTGACAAAAGCCACTTTTTCAGGGTAGGGAGTGTGTCATAAATCACAAATCCCTTTTCCTCTAATCTCATCCCAGCTTCTAGAGTATAAAAGGAAAAAAAGGGTAGCCTGAAGAGGCATATTTCTAACCCAACTTTATTTTCACTCACTGTGAGTAATTCTATACAATATGTTCTGAGTGAGAAAAGTGGGTATTACTTTTGCTGTCACTTTTATTTTATTTCACTGTCATTTTATTTCATTTTTCTTAGGAGAACATATGGAACAAAAAAACATCAATTTAGAGAAACATTAAATTCTCCATTATTAGGGTGCATAATTCCTCATATGTGCTATTTGCAGGTTCTCTCAAAATCTGTATACACTTTTTTTTTTTTTTTGCTTAAAGATACTATCTAAGAATACATCATTAAAGTATTATGGGAAAAATATAAAATTTAAAGTTATTTTTCTAATAGTTGGCATGATAATCTATTTTACTAATGTTCGTTTTGTGAATATCAGAGCTCATTCTGAAAAAGGGAAGCTGCCTACTCCACAGGGCTGTTGAGAACAAAACAGAATAATAAATATCACAACTCTTTGTAAAGCCTAAACACACAGCCAACATAAGAGCATGACAATAATGTTATAGAAGCAAACAAAATTTTCTAGGAAGAGGCTACCATCATTAAAAAACCTTAAGCCTGGGCTAGATTTTTTAGGAACTAGCAGCAAATCTGATGATTAAAAGTGTTAGGCTGTGGCCTATGTACATTTTCAAAGCAGTGCACAATAAGTTTGACCAAGGCCACTACCTGTGCTTTCATTCACATTTCCCTGAAGTCAGTATCTTCCCGCTCTCACCCCTAAAAAAAACCAAAGCGTCCTTTACTAGAATTCATTTAAGTACCAAGAAAAATATGTACACTTCTTTGACCTAATAAACAAGTTCTGTGGCAGAAATATCACTACCACATAGACTAAACATATTAACAATCTACAAACGATTTCTGAAATCATAAAAAATCAGTCTTTATGACTTACCAGACAGTAGCATATGCCCTTCGAAAACAGTGGCAGGTGGAACTCTAGGCTTATAGTTTTTCACAGCTTCAGCAATTTCTCTGAGTTAAAAGAGAAAACACGATATCCATTAAATCTAAACAAAATTCAATTAAACTAATTTCCACCTATGAAATTAAGTCTGTTTAATATAATTATATACCTAGTTCCAAATGTGAAGCAGCAACTGTGCTTTTCAGTTTTCTCAGTAATGCAGAAAATGAATCTACAATCTTTAACATTTCTGTTATCTGCCCCATTGCTGTGCACTGATTGTACCAAGTTCTGTGCTCACAGATGTGAACCTACAGACGTGACGGTTTGCACAAATGCTAATAGCAAATCTCCTCCACCCCTTCCCAAACCTGAAGATATCCTTAACGCCATCAAATCCACATGGTAATTTAAAAGAAAAAAAGGCTTCATTGTTGAGAAGGAAGAGCAAACAGGAGAGGAGGTGCCAGGAGTGAAGGAAATTAAATCCTTTAGGTCTGTTTTTTTCAAGCACACATAGATGGTAAGAAGGGTAAAGAGTAATACATCACTGAAACTCCAAAATTATTACTCCTAAAAATTTGTTTTAATTATTCATACTCTTTTGAACCTTATCAGCTTCGATGAAATATGTCTTCTGATCAGCCTGGAAAAATCTGGCTGCTCTACTAAATTTATCAGGACCAGAATGAACTGCTCACTCTACTGCCCCCCAAATGAGTATGTGAATGGCAAAGTAAAAGCAGCAAATATATATGCAGAGATAGGTAGACCTACACACACAAACCCACACACACAGGTATTTTTAAAACAACTCGTTTACAAATATCTCAGTTTCGTTTCCTTTTATGGCTGAGTAATATTCCATTGTATATATGTGCCACATCTTCTTTATCCATTCATCCAATGATGGACACTTAGGCTGCTTCCATGTCCTGGCTACTGTGAATAGAGCTGCAGTGAACGCTTTGGTACATGACTCTTTTTGAATTATGGTTTTCTCAGGGTATATGCCCAGTAGCGGGATTGCTGGGTCGTATGGTAGTTCTATTTGTAGTTTTTTAAGGAACTTCCATACTGTTCTCCATAGTGGCTGTATCAATTTACATTCCCACCAACAGTGCAAGAGGGTTCCCTTTTTCTCCACACCCTCTCCAGCATTTATTGTTTCTAGATTTTTTGATGATGGCCATTCTAACCAGTGTGAGATGATATCTCATTGTAGTTTTGATTTGCATTTCTCTAATGATTAATGATGTTGAGCACCTGTAGTGAGGTGGATGGACCTAGAGTCTATCATACAGAGTGAAGTAAGTCAGAAAGAGAAAAACAAATACCGTATGCTTAACACATATATATGGAATCCAAGAGGGCTTCCCTGGTGGCGCAGTGGTTGAGAGTGCACCTGCCGATGCAGGAGATGCAGGTTCGTGCCCCGGTCTGGGAGGATCCCACATATCCCACATGCCGTGGAGCGGCTGGGCCCGTGAGCCATGGCCGCTGGGCCTGCGCGTCCGAAGACTGTGCTCCGCTACAGGGGAGGCCACAGCAGTGAGAGGCCCGTGTATGGCAAAAAAAAAAGAACCTATGGGTAAGACGGGAATAAAGACACAGACCTACTAGAGAATGGACTTGAGGATATGGGGAGGCAGAAGGGTAAGCTGCGACAAAGTGAGAGAGTGGCATGGGTAAGCTGTGACAAAGTGAGAGAGTGGTATGGACATATATACACTACCAAATGTAAAATAGATAGTTAGTAGGAAACAGCCGCATAGCACAGGGAGATCAGCTCGGTGGTCTGTTACCACCTAGAGGGGTGGGACAAGGAAGGTGGGAAGGAGGGAGACGCAAGAGGGAAGAGATATGGGAACATATGTATATATATAACTGATTCACTTTGTTATAAAGCAGAAACTAACATACCATTATATTCCAATAAAGATGTTAAAAAACAAAAAACACAACTCTTTTTATAAAGGAGGAGATAATCTTAAAAACAAAAAGAGATCCAAAGATAAGCTATCCTCAACTACTGATAACTTTCAGATATTATTTAAAAGATGTTATGTTTAAAAAATTATAGAGACTCTTCATAGAGTCTATCATGGAAGTCAACAAACTCAGTGCAACATTAGGCAGTTCAATACAGTGAATGTATTACAGGCATGCAAGCAGACTGGCTCAAAATATGATCATCAGTCACTCTAGGAAAAAAAACAAATACAAACAGTCCTCAACTGTGTTTTATTCCACTCAATTCCAATCTTTCCAATCTTCTTATAAACCACGAAACTGCAGGGACTTAAACACACCCTTCGCCATGCCCTTGTCTCCCACCCCCTTCCTTCATGCCCTCACTCTACAACGTGGGTTAAACAGTGACTGTGTCAGGCGAGGTGAAGACGCTCCTCTTGACCTCAAGGTGCTTGTTGCTTATTGTCTTTTCCTTTCATGAGAGAATCTAGTGGAGGCAGGTATTTGCCCACAAGAAATATCGGCTGTCCCTCTTTGAGCACTGGAATATTATTCAGGTATTTAAAGGTAGAGTGTTAAGATATCTAGGATTTGCTTCAAAACTACAATGAGGTATCACCTCACACCAGTCAGAATGGCCATCATCAAAAAATCTACAAACAACAAATGCTAGAGAGGGTGTGGAGAAAAGGGGACTCTCTTACACTGTTGGTGGGAATGTAAATTGATAGAGTCACTATGGAAAAAAGTATGGAAGCTCCTTAAAAAACTAAAAATGGAATTACCATAAAACCCAGCAATCCCACTACTAGGCATATACCCTGAGAAAACCATAATTCAAAAAGAGTCATGTACCACAATGTTCTATTTACAACGTTCATTGCAGCTCTATTTACAATAGTCAGGACATGGAAGCAACTAAATGTCCAACAACAGAAGAAAGGACAAAGAAGAAGTGGTACATATATACAATGGAATATTACTCAGCCATAGAAAGAAACGAAATTGGGTCACTTGCAGAGACACGGATGGACCTAGGGACTGTCATACAGAGTGAAGTAAGTCAGAAAGAGAAAAACAAATATCGTATATTAATGCATATATGTGGAATTTAGAAAAATGGTATAGATGATCTTATTTGCAAAGAAGAAATAGAGACACAAACATAGAGAACAAACGTACGGATACCAAGGGGGAAGGGGAGGTGGGATGAATTGGGAGATTGGGATTGACATATATGCACTATTGATACTATGTATAAAATAGATAACTGATGTGAACATATTATATAGCACAGGGAACTCTACTCAATGCTCAGTGGTGACCTAAACGGGAAAGAAATCCAAAAAAAGGGGATATATGTATACGTATAGCTGATTTACTTTGCTGTACAGCAGAAACTAACACAACATTGTAAAGCAACTATACTCAAATAAAAATTAATTTAAAAAAAAAGATATGTAGGATTTGCTTTACAATAGTCTAAGGGAAAACAAAGTTGGAGAATAAATAAAGTAAGAATAGCAAAATGTTGAAAATTATGGAAACTATGCAATAGGTGCATGGGGGTTCATTTTATTATTTTTCTACTTTAATTTTTGGAATTTTTCATAATATAAAGTATCTTGGTTTGCTAGGGCTGCCATAACGAAATACCACAGACTAGGTAGTTTAAACAGCAAAATTTGAATTTCTTCAAGTTCTGGAGGCTAGAAGTCTCAGGTCAAGGTGTCAGTAGGACCGGTTTCCTCTTAGACCTCTCTTTGGTTTGTAGCTGGCTATCTTCTCCCTGGGTCTTCACATGGCCCCTTCCTGTGTGTGCCTGTGTCCTCACCAGTCACATTGGATCAGGATCCATTCATATGACCTCATTTTACCTTAATTACCTCCTTAAAGGCCCTACCTCTAAATACAGGCACATTCAGAGGAATTGGGGATTAGGGCTTCAACCTATGAATTTGGGGGACACAATTCATCCCATAACAAAAGGTAAAATACTTAGAAAGGATTATCACCTGATATGATCTGGTGTCGTACCACAGCACCCGCCAACTATATTGACCAAGCCGTCCATAGCAAAATCCTGCATTTAGGAAAAGAAAAAGTTTCAGAGAGTTCATCTGAATTCTAAGCTCACCACTACCAATTCAGCAGAAAATCTGCATTTCCTGAATAACGAATTTTCCATTTAAAAGAGAGCTAAACATACTTAACTCTAGATATCAAGCTTTGATAAGCCTTAGACATAAGGTTAAAAGCAGAGACCAGTTCAGATACTATGAAATGCAAAGAGATATTTGCCTATCTGATCACAATAAAGTTATTTTTTACCCATATGCTGAGCAGAATGAATGTGAGCTAAGTAATGCATTTTCCAATAATACGTATTCAGTTTTTAAATTTAAATTCAAATGTTTAAAGAATTAAAAATTCAGTTCCTCAGTCACAACAGCCACATTTCAAGTGCTCCAATGACCACATGTGGTAGAGGCTACACATGTGGCTATACATATTGCACAGTGCAGGTCTGGAGTTTAACCACAGTTGGTTTGAAAGCTGGAGTTTAACCACAGCTGGTTTGAAAGGACAAGATAACCGAGAGAGAGGAAGTCAAGGAAGTGAGAAGTCAGAGTATTGAAAAGAGCATCTACATAAGGTACTGAAAACATAAAAATTAAATGAGAAATAGTTTAGGAGAGAATGTCAGTAAGCCAGAAACTAAAAATTCAAGGAATGAGGGAAAAGAGACCCAGGGGTTAGTGATTAGGAGGGGTCACGGGTAGTATGGTTTCGTGACCTGGGATTCAAAGATGGGAGGTGTATGTGAGAAAAGGAGAATGGGGGAGGTGACAGTGGGGAGCTAGGAGACATAGACTCCACCCAGCAGTCTGCGGGGTGGAGGGGACCACCTGGGAGGGCTGCAGAGGAGTGCCGAGTTTCAGTTAGTTTGGGCTGGACCTCTCTGGAGAATTTCCCAATAGCCACTAGTACCCACTGTGGAGAAGGATGCTGACAGCGAGCCCCTCCATCTGCCTCCATCATTTTAATTCATCTTAAGCTTTTATTTTTTATATATACACTGGGATTTCTTTAGGGGAAAAGTCTACTTCTAGATATTCTAAATCAAAAATTCCATTTCTGTATCTCTTAAAAACCAAGTGAAAGAGGATTCTTGACCTTTAAGTGCATGGCCATCACGTGTGGAGTTTCATCATATTCACCGAAGGTATTGGGAAGACCTAAGAAAGTATATTTCAGCCATTACTGGAAACTACTTTAACAAATGACATAGTATTTGTAAAGGCTTTAGGTTAAAATGTTAGAAAAATATTTATAATTAAATCGTGATTACTTGCAAAAACAAGTAAGAATTCTTAACATTAAACATAGTAAGTACAGAGACGCCATACCAGACAACAACAATAAAATCACAGAGGAAAATAAACATCCATTATTTCTTTGCTATTTGAAAGAAAAGCATCACTACTACATGAGACAGAATTTCCCTACCCCTATCCCTCCCTTTTCTTTAAGGGAAATTCATTCTTGTCTCCTAGACGCCTAGGGGTAGGGGTTGGAAGAGTACCACACATTCTTTGAACTAATGAGCACCAGACATGCAATTAAAAACAAGCAAAACACAACCCATCTCCTTTCAAGTAAGTTTTCCCAAGTAAGACTTTAGCATCTAATTATCCAATTTCCTGTTTTATTTATTATCCCCTTCCAGTTATCTTACTCCTGGTGGGAAATAAAATTTACTGCACATTAAAATGTACATATGTGGAGAAAGAAGGCTGGAAAATGATTTTTAGCCCCAAGTAGTTAAGTGGTGCTCAGAAACATTCACCAGGAAATCTGGTTAACCCAGAATGGATTACCAATATTAAATGGATAGTCTGAAAATTGTCTACATTTATCTTAGGAATTTTTATATACCATTAAGTCCTAACTTTTAAAAAGGAGAAAAGTAACAGGCTCTTTTGTCGATACAGTGGAACAAAGAAGAGGGCTCTCTCTCACGTTCTTTGCACTCATCTCTTTGGCCACGCCCACATGGCAAGGACTGTCACCAATTCCAAGGCTCTGGCCAGATAAGTTATGACTAGGCTTCATGCCCCCAAGTTCTGTCCACTTCCGACCCTTTCAGGCTAAGCCAAACTGTTCCTTCAAGTCTAGAGGGAAACAGTGGTCTAGACCCGAATACTCTTCATTTAGAAAATTCCTATTGAAAGTCAACTATATACTAAGACCTGCAAAACAAACTCTCTTAAACCAGATCTGTTACCCTATCTACCCAGGTCTTGTGTATTTGCATTTTCCTATGTGTGACTCCCTTGAAACACACACCTGCATTGGGATAACAGAGGACATAGGCTGTTGTACATTTTCCAATTGCTTCAATAAAAGGTCTCATTTCAGCTGCACCCAGAGCACAATTTAATCCAATGCTGGAAAAATAAAAAGAAGGTATTAGAAGTACCCTCTTCTATTCTAAATATTTATACATATAAAAAGTTATGATAAAGAAAGGAGTACATTTAAAACCAAGCAGATAGTAAGTCTCCTGATTCAAAGCAAGTTTATTCAGCTCCAGTCAAAGCCACCTCACTGAAGTTCCCTGCAACACTAAATATTTCTGCCCATGTCTCCAACATTAGATGCTGCCTACGGATGTGACTCCTTAAATAAGTTCACCGTTTAGTTAATGGTATACCATGAAACAGAAATGTCTGCAAACTACCACTGCTAATAAACACTGGAAAGCAATACTTAAGAGAAAGAAAAAGGAAAATCTTGGAGGTAGAAGGCACATTAATGGCACACAGAAGCCACTTCGGGGGTCTTGAAGACCAAAACTCAGTCCTTGCTCCAACTGAACTGCAACGTGACCTTGGACTTAGAATTTGTCCTCTTATAAATTAATTTGTAACCAAGGGGCTCTCTGTTTTGCAAATGAAACTTACTGCAGACTAAAATAAAATAGATCAAAGCAGAGCTGCTAAAACCCCTCCAAAATCACACTCAGTGGGAGCTGCTGAAGTCTTCAGGAATTCAAGAATTAACTATGAAGTGACAGGACTATGTCATCTTTTATTTTTTCACATTTTACTTGTTTTCTTTTACTATGATTTCTAAGTGCAATGTGATATACTAGATTACATCCTGGAACAGAGAAAGGACATTAGTGGAAAAACCTGAAACCAGAATAAATTCAGGAGTTTAGTTAATAGTAATATACTTTTAGTTTTGACAAAAGTACCACAGTTAATGCAAGATGTCTCATTAGAAAAAACTAGATGAAGAGCATATGGGAATTCTCTGTACTATCTTTGCAACTTTTCTGTAAATCTGAAATTATTCCAAAATAAAAGGTTTATTTAACAAACAAATACCCAACTCCCATTCCTGATAAAAACTCTTAGTAAACTAGGAATAGAGGGGAACTTCCTCCACTTGATAAAGAAGGTCTATAAAAAACTATAGCTAACATCATACTTAATGATACAGAACTAGATGCTTTCCCCGCAAGATCAGGAACATTCAAGGATGCCCGCTTTCACTGCTTGCTAAACATCATGCTGGGAGTCCTAGGTGAGGCAATAAGAGAAGATGGAAAATAAAAGGTATACAGATTGGAAAGGAAGAAATAAATTTGTCTTTGTTCACAGATAAGACTATCTGTTCTAAAGAATCATCTAAAAAATTCTTAGAACCAAGGTTGTAAAGCACAAGCTTCATATACAAAAGTCAACTGTTTACCTATATACCAGCAATGAGCAATTGTAATTTGAAATACGAAACACATTATTTACAATGGCACCAAAATAAATGAAATACTTGTGTATAACTACAAAACTCTGATGAAAGAAATCAAGGCAGATCTAAATAAATGGAGATCTATCCGATGTTCATCAACAGGAAGACTTAATATAGTTAAGATGTCAATTCTTCCCAATTTTATATACATTTACACAATGCCAGTCAAAATTCCAGCAAGTTATTTTGTGGATATCAACAAACTGACTCTAAAGTTTACATGATGAAGCAAACAACCCAGAAGAGCTAATACAATTAGCTACTGTAGAAGAACAAAGTCAAAGTACTGGTACTACTCGACTTCAACACTCACTGAAAAGCTAAAGGAATCTCTGGTATTGATGAGAGAGCACAGACAAACAGATCAATGGTGCTGAATAGAGTCCAGGAACAGAATCACACAAATACAGTCAACTAATCTTTGACAAACGAGCAAAGGCAATCCAATGGAGAAAGGATTGTATTTTCAACAAACAGTACTGGAACAACTGGACATTCACATCTGAATACATTAATCTAGACAAAGAGCTTACATCTTTCATAAAAATTAACGCAAAATGGATCACAGATCTAATTGCAAGTTGCAAAACTATTAAGATATAAATATATATATAACGATTACACAGGAGAAAAATCTAGGTGTCCACGCGTTTGGAGATGAGTTTTTAGATACAACACCAGAAGTAGGATCCATGAAAGAAAGAAAGAAAAAAAAATGATAAGCTAGACTTCACTAAAATTACAAACTTCTGCTCCGTGAAAGATATGGTTAGGAGCATGAGAAGACAAGCCACGGACTAGGAACAAATATTTGCAAAACACATATACGGTATCCAAAATATTTTCTTTAATTTTTCAAACTCAACAATAAGAAAACCACCCAACTAAAACAATAAACAAAAGATCTGAAGAGGAGAAGCTACCTCAAGGTGTTGTTGCCAAAATTAAAAGAAAGAACTCTCATAAAGCACTTAGAACCAAGCCTGGCACACAGCAAACTCTCAATAAATGTCTATGACTCTTATTTTTATGGCCAAGGCTATAATAACAGTGAATAGAGTGCTCTGAGAAGAACATCGACCTGGGCTGGTAAGAGAGGGAAGGGTCCCCAGAGAGGACCCTAGAGATGGGTCTGAAAGGCTCACGTGTCGGGGTGACCCTGCAGGGCAGGCATGGCCTCCAGGCAGGAGTAGAACAAGCATGGAAAAGGCACAGGAGGAAACTGTATAGACTCTTGGAGCTTCCATCTCACTCATGGTACAGAATTTAAACCATTTTGATCAGAAAAATAGAGAGATGTTACAAACTAGAATGTAAAAGCCATGTTAATTTTAAAGATAAAAATCTGAGCTTTAGAATTCCCACCTTATTTCAAACTACACTACTTCTGGTTGTTCCACAAGCAGGGACTGAAAAAACCTTGCAAAAATTTTAAGTGCTGATAATAGATTTAAAGTGTTGTTAGCAGGCCAAGCCATCTTAAACTATAAGGGGGACACTTACAGACAAAAAGGCAACTTTCTGGTGGGCCCAGGGCATATGAGAACTCTCCCCCTCCCTCAAATCAGCCCATTTAGGCAGTGTCTCCTGACAGCCTCAGGGCAGTCAGAATGTACTTTAAGGGAAGACAACATCTCATACAAGTGGTACCATAGAAATATAGAGAAGCAATCCCCCTCCCGGGTCACAGTCTGTAGTCATCAGAAGAGATCCCCCCAAAAGGAATGGAGTCAAAACAGAATGATCACTCACCAGAGTGGGTCTGCATGAGACACGCTGATGATAAACGCCTCCCCGGTCTGGCCAGAGAGAGTCCGCCCACTTTTATCAACAATTGTCCCTGAAATCTGAATTGAACAAAGTAAACTCTGTCAACAGCATAGACTTGAGTTAAGAATACAGTCACAGAAACAAAATAAAATGCGCAAGCTGACTTTCTTTGTTTTTTTACAAGGAAGAGAACTGTGGCACTCAAACTCCAAGGCAGCACTGTTTTCTTTAAAGGTCAGAACAGATGAATGCCAAGTGCCCAGGGGAGGGGTTGGAAAGCCACAGAAACAGAGAAAAGGGAAAGTCACGGAGACAAAAGCAGTGTCCAAAAAAGCTTTAGGATTCACACCTCCAGTCCCACTGGAGAAGACTTCCCCACAGATACCTCAGGTTATCCTGGTCTCCTGCTGTTCAACATCTGATTCATCTAACACTCTTTGTTTGACTCTATTCTATTCTCACCAAGCAATGGGGGCCTGCCTGTTGCATTAATGAATTGGCAGCATGCTGTCTCTGGTGTTGGATGCTTCACGGTCAGCACACCAGTCCATCCGCCCTCGGGCCCTAATGAGAGTGAGCCTTTGGCTTCGGGGGACCAGTTCAGCCAGGCTTCTTTGGAATAGCCTGCCTTCCACAAACCACCGCTACATTCATTTTCTGTACATTTCCACGAATAAGACTGCTATTGATCTAGAGATGGTGGAAGAAGGGAGGTGAACCAAGCAAGAAGCTGGTTCCTAAAAGATACTATCAATAGTTCCATGGCAGGAAAACAAAAACCCCACCCTCAAAATGACAGTATTAATAAAACCCAAAATTCATCATGCAAATATTTGAGAACTTACAAGGAGAGGCCGGGGAGCATACTCCTCTTCAAAAAGTTTGTGGACTGCAAACAAGGCTGCCTGTCAGGGAGAAAAAGGACACCTTTGTTTCTGAGAGACTGTGACACAGGTCAGCCTAAATGGCTGATCAGAATGCTCCCTTACCCAGACCTCTTCAGGTAAGATACACATCACGTTCTCTGGGGAGGAGAAGGAGAAACACGTCCTCCTGATAACGCACAACCCCAGGGCCCCTTTCTCAAGGGTAACACTGTACATGTTACAACAAAACAAATGCTGACTGAAAGTCCCTCCATGAACTAATACTTCCTCTGAGGAAGGGCTGAAGAGCTACTCTTTCTTCTTTTGCTCAGTCAAAATTAAAAATAGATAAATAAGAAGCCTCTGCTTTCCACAGCCTCATATATACATGGTAGGTATATGAACCAACAGTGGATGCCATTGCAAAAAAGAGTATGAGCTAGAATGGGTTGTAAAGGCGCAAATCCCACGTCAATCTGTACCGTCCATGTTTTATTAAGTTCCGGGACCAGACACCAAGGTCCTCCAATGCTCAAGGCCGTTCCACATCGGAACTCACCGACACGGAGGGCCGACATCACAAATTAAAACTATAATGAGGTAGTATTTTTCAGCTATCAGACTGGAAAAGATCAAAAAGTTCAACAGAGGGCTTCCGTGGTGGCGCAGTGGTTGAGAGTCCGCCTGCCAATTCAGGGGACGCGGGTTCGTGTCCCAGTCCGGGAAGATCCCACATGCCGCGGAGCGGCTGGGCCCGTGAGCCATGGCCGCTGAGCCTGCGCATCCGGAGCCTGTGCTCCGCAACGGGAGAGGCTGCAACAGTGAGAGGCCCATGTACCGAAAAAAAATAAAAAAAAAAAAGTTCAACAGAAAGGGTGTGGTGAAAGCAGCACTACTGTGCACTGCTTGCTGATTGGAGGACAAATGAGTACAATCTTAGAGGGAATTTGACACTAAAAATCAAAATTAACAGTGCCCAGACCCTTTAAACCTTGCAATTTCACTTGTAGAAATTTATCTTCAGAGACACTGTGCAAAAACGTATGTATGAGGATATCTACTTTTATTCTACACACTTATGTACCTTTGTACATGTACAAAGAATATAGTCACATACACATATGCATACGCATCACGCACGCTTTTATCTGCATGGAATCCCTGTCAGGACCCTCACACCAGTGAGAGCAGTGGTCCCTGGGGAAGACGGCCAAATACCCAGGGAATAGGAAACAGAAGGACATTTACTTTTTATTCCATACATTTATGTGTCTTTTTTTTTTTTCTTTTCTGGCCGAGCAGCACGGCTAGCGGGATCTTAGTTCCCCAACCAGGGATGGGACCCGGATCCTTGGTAGTGAAAGTGACAAGTCCTAAGCACTGGACTGCCAGGGAATTCCCATTTCTGTGTCTTCTGAATTTTAGAACCATGCATATATATTTATTACCTATGCATCTACGTACATATAGTAGCTATATATGAAAATATTTACTTTCATAATTAAAAACACATTTTTTAAAAGTTAGAAACATAACCTTTTGAAGTTTCCTTCATTCTACTGGACTCAGTTAAAAATATTCAAGAATAAAATGGGCTTGGCGAAGAAGATGGCGGAAGAGTAAGACGCGGAGATCACCTTCCTCCCCACAGATACACCAGAAATACATCTACACATGGAACAACTCCTACAGAACATCTACTGAATGCTGGCAGAAGACCTCAGACCTCCCGAAAGGCAAGAAACTCCCCACGTACCTGGGTAGGGCCAAAGAAAAAAGAATAAAGAGACCAAAGAAGAGGGACGGGGGCTTGCCTGGTGGCGCAGTGGTTGAGAGTCTGCCTGCTAATGCAGGGGACACGGGCTCGAGCCCTGGTCTGGGAGGATCCCACATGCCGTGGAGCAACTAGGCCCGTGGGCCACAACTACTGTGCCTGCGCGTCTGGAGCCTGTGCTCCACAACAAGAGAGGCCGAAACAGTGAGAGCCCTGTGCACCATGATGAAGGGTGGCCCCCGCTTGCCACAACTAGAGAAAGCCCTCGCACAGAAACGAAAACCCAACACAGCAAAATTAAATAAAATAAATTAAGAATAGGGACGGGACCTGCACCAGTGGGAGGGAGCCGTGAAGGAGGAAAGGTTTCCACACACTAGAAGCCCCTTCGCGGGCCGAGACTGCGAGCGGCGGAGGAGGGGAGCTTCGGAGCCACGGAGGAGAGCGCAGCAACAGGGGCGCGGAGGGCAAAGCGGAGAGATTCCCGCACAGAGGATCGGGGCCGACCGGCACTCACCAGCCCGACAGGCTTGTCTGCTCACCCGCCAGGGCCGGCGGGGCTGGGAGCCGAGGCTCAGGCTTCAGTCGGAGCGCAGGGAGAGGACTGGGGCTGGCGGCGTGAGCACAGCCTGAAGGGGTTAGTGCGCCACGGCTGGCCGGGAGGGAGTCCGGGGAGAAGTCTGGAGCTGCCGAAGAGGCAGGAGACTTTCTCTTGCCTCTTTGTTTCCTGGGGCGCGAGGAGAGGATTAAGAACGCTGCTTAAAGGAGCTCCAGAGACGGGCGCGAGCCGCGGCTAAAAGCGCAGACCCCACAGACAGGCATGAGATGCTAAGGCTGCTGCTGCCGCCAACAAGAAGCCTGTGTGCGAGCACAGGTCACTCTCCACACCTCCCTTCCGAGGAGACTGTGCAGCCCGCCACTGCCAGGGTCCCAGGATCCAGGAACAACTTCCCCGGGAGAACGCATCGCGCCTCAGGCTGGTGTAACGTCACGCCGGCCTCTGCCGCCGCAGGGTCGCCCCGCATCCGTACCCCTCCCTCCCCCCGGCCCGAGTGAGCCAGAGCCCCCGAATCAGCTGCTCCTTTAACCCCGTCCTGTCTGAGCGAAGAACAGACGCCCTCCGCTGACCTACACGCAGAGGAGGGGCCAAATCCAAAGCTGAAATCCCGCAGCTGTGCGAACAACGAGAAAGGGAAATCTCTCCCAGAAGCCTCAGAAGCAGCGGATTAAATCTCCGCAATCAACTTGATGTACCCTGCATCTATGGAATAACTGAATAGACAAATCATCCCAAATTGAGGAGGTGGACTTTGAGAGCAAGATTTATTATTTTTTCCCCTTTTCCTCTTTTTGTGAGTGTGTATGTGTACGCGTCTGTGTGAGATTTTGTATAGCTCTGCTTTCACCACTTGTCCTACAGTTCTATCCATCCGTTTTTGTTTTTACTTAAAAAAAAATTTTTTTTCTTAATAATTATTTTTAATAACTTTATTTTACTTTACCTTACTTTATTTTCCCTTTCTTTCTTCCTTCCTTCCTTCCTTTCTTTCTTTTTCTCCCTTTCTTTTTCTTTCTTTCTTTCTTTCTTTTTCTTCCTTCCTTCCTCCCTTCCTCCCTTCCTTCCTCCCTTCCTCCCTCCCTTCCTCTCTCCCTCTCTCTCTCTCTTTCTCTCTCTCTCTCCCTCTCTCTCTCTCTCTCTCTCTTTCTTTCTTTCTTTCTTTCTACTTTTTCTCCCTTTTACTCTGAGCCGTGTGGATGAAAGGCTCTTGGTGCTGCAGCCAGGAGTCACTGCTGTGCCTATGAGGTGGGAGAATCAAATTCAGGACACTGGTCCACAAGAGACCTCCCAGCTCCACATAATATCAAACGGTGAAAATCTCCCAGCGGTCTCCATCTCAACACCAACACCCAGCTTCACTCAACGACCAGCAAGCTACAGTGCTGGACACCCTATGCCAAACAACTAGCAAGACAGGAACACAACCCCACCCATTAGCAGAGAGGCTGCCTAAAATCATAATAAGTCCACAGACACCCCAAAACACACCACCAGACGTGGACCTGCCCACTAGAGAGACAAGATCTAGCCTCATACACCACAACACAGCCACTAGTCCCCTCCACCAGGAAGCCTACACAACCCACTGAACCAACTTTAGCCACTGGGGACAGACACCAAACACAACGGGAACTACGAACCTGCAGCCTGCAAAAAGGAGACCCCAAACACGGTAAGATAAGCAAAATGAGAAGACAGAAAAACACACAGCAGATGAAGGAGCAAGATAAAAACCCACCAGACCTAACAAATGAAGAGAAAATAGGCAGTCTACCTGAAAAAGAATTCAGAATAATGATACTAAAGATGATCCAAAATTTTGGAAATACAATAGAGAAAATGCAAGAAACATTTAACAAGGACCTAGAAGAACTAAAGATGAAACAAGCAACGATGAACAACACACTCAATGAAATGAAAAATACTCTAGAAGGGATCAATAGCAGAATAACTGAGGCAGAAGAACAGATAAGTGACCTGGAAGATAAAATAGTGGAAATAACTACTTCAGAGCAGAATAAAGAAAAATGAATGAAAAGAACTGAGAACAGTCTCAGAGACCTCTGAGACAACATTAAACGCACCAACATTCGAATTATAGGGGTTCCAGAAGAAGAAGAGAAAAAGAAAGGGACTGAGAAAATATTTGAAGAGATTATAGTTGAAAACTTCCCTAATATGGGAAAGGAAATAGTTAATCAAGTCCAGGAAGCACAGAGAGTCCCATACAGGATAAATCCAAGGAGAAACACGCCAAGAACATATTAATCAAACTGTCAAAAATTAAATACAAAGAAAACATATTAAAAGCAGCAAGGGGGCTTCCCTGGTGGCGCAGTGCTTGAGAGTCCGCCTGCCGATGCAGCTGATCTCTCAGCAGAAACTCTACAAGCCAGAAGGGAGTGGCAGGACATACTGAAAGTGATGAAGGAGAAAAACCTGCAACCAAGATTACTCTACCCAGCAAGGATCTCATTCAGATTTGATGGAGAAATTAAAACCTTTACAGACAAGCAAAAGCTGAGAGAGTTCAGCACCACCAAACCAGCTTTACAACAAATGCTAAAGGAACTTCTCTAGACAAAAACACAAGAGAAGGAAAAGTCCTATAATAACGAACCCAAAACAATTTAGAAAATGGGAATAGGAACATACATATCGATAATTACCTTAAATGTAAATGGACTAAATGCTCCCACCAAAAGACACAGATTGGCTGAATGGATACAAAAACAAGACCCATATATATGCTGTCTACAAGAGACCCACTTCAGACCTAGAGACACATACAGACTGAAAGTAAGGGGATGGAAAAAGATATTCCATGCAAATGGAAACCAAAAGAAAGCTGGAGTAGCAATTCTCATATCAGACAAAATAGACTTTAAAATAAGGACTATCAGAAGAGACAAAGAAGGACACTACATAATGATTAAGGGATCGATCCAAGAAGAAGATATAACAATTGTAAATATTTATGCACCCAACATAGGAGCACCTCAATACATAAGGCAAAAACTAGCAGCCATAAAAGGGGAAATCGACAGTAACACATTCATAGTAGGGGACTTCAACACCCCACTTTCACCAATGGACAGATCATCCAAAATGAAAATAAATAAGGAAACACAAGCTTTAAATGATACATTAAACAGGATGGACTTAATTGATATTTATAGGACACTCCATCCAAAAACAACAGAATACACATTTTTCTCAAGTGCTCATGGAACATTCTCCAGGATAGATCATATCTTGGGTCACAAATCAAGCCTTGGTAAATTTAAGAAAATTGAAATTGTATCAAGTATCTTTTCCGACCACAACGCCATGAGACTAGATATCAATTATAGGAAAAGATCTGTAAAAAATACAAACACATGGAGGCTAAACAATACACTACTTAATAACGAAGTGATCACTGAAGAAATCAAAGAGGAAATTAAAAAATACCTAGAAACAAATGACAATGGAGATACAACGACCCAAAACCTATGGGATGCAGCAAAAGCAGTTCTAAGAGGGAAGTTTATAGCAATACAAGCCCACCTTAAGAAGCAGGAAACATCTCGAAGGGGCTTCCCTGGTGGCACAGTGGTTAACAGTCCACCTGCTGATGCAGGGGACACGGGTTCGTGCCCCGGTCCAGGAAGATCCCACATGCCACGGAGTGGCTGGGCCCCTGAGCCGTGGCCGCTGAGCCTGTACGTCCGGAGCCTGTGCTCCGCAGTGGGAGAGGCCACAGCAGTAACAGGCCCGCGTACCGCAAAAAAAAAAAAAGAAAAAAGGGAGAAGACTCAAATCAACAGAATTAGAAATGAAAAAGGAGAAGTAACAACTGACACTGCAGAAATACAAAAGATCATGAGGGATTACTACAAGCAACTCTATGCCAATAAAATGGACAATCTGGAAGAAATGGACAAATTCTTAGAAATGCACAAACTGCCAAGACTGAATCAGGAAGAAATAGAAAATATGAACAGACCAATCACAAACACTGAAATTGAAACTGTGATTAAAAATCTTCCAACAAACAAAAGCCCAGGACCAGATGGCTTCACAGGCGAATTCTATCAAATACTTAGAGAAGAACTAACACCTATCCTTCTCAAACTCTTCCAAAATATAGCAGAGGGAGGAACGCTCCCAAACTCATTCTACGAGGCCACCATCACCCTGATACCAAAACCAGACAAGGATGTCACAAAGAAAGAAAACTGCAGGCCAATATCACTGATGAACATAGATGCAAAAATCCTCAACAAAGTATTAGCAAACAGAATCCAACAGCACATTAAAAGGATCATACACCATGATCGAATGGGATTTATTCCAGGAATGCAAGGACTCTTCAATATACGCAAATCAATCAATGTGATACACCATATTAACAAATTGAAGGAGAAAAACCATATGGTCATCTCAATAGATGCAGAGAAAGCTTTTGAAAAAATTCAACACCCATTTATGATAAAAAACCTCCAGAAAGTAGGCATAGAGGGAACTTTCCTCAACATAATAAAGGCCATATATGACAAACCCACAGCCAACATCATCCTCAATGGTGAAAAACTGAAACCATTTCCACTAAGATCAGGAACAAGACAAGGTTGCCCACTCTCACCACTCTTATTCAACATAGTTTTGGAAGTTTTAGCCACAGCAATGAAAGAAGAAAAGGAAATAAAAGGAATCCAAATCGGAAAAGAAGAAGTAAAGCGGTCACTGTTTGCAGATGACATGACACTATACATGGAGAATCCTAAAGATGCTACCAGAAAACTACTAGAGCTAATCAATGAATTTGGTAAAGTAGCCGGATACAAAATTAATGCACAGAAATCTCTGGCATTCCTATACACTAATGATCAAAAATCTGAAAGTGAAATCAAGAAAACACTCCCATTTCCCACTGCAACAAAAAGAATAAAATATCTAGGAATAAACCTACCTCAGGAGACAAGAGACCTGTATGCAGAAAATTATAAGACACTGATGAAAGAAATTAAGGATACAAATAGATGGAGAGATATACCATGCTCTTGGATTGGAAGAATCAACATTGTGAAAATGACTCTACTACCCAAAGCAATCTACAGATTCAATGCAATACCTATCAAACTACCACTGGCATTTTTCACAGAACTGGAACAAAAAATTTCACAATTTGTATGGAAACACAAAAGACCCCGAATAGCCAAAGCAATCTTGAGAACAAAAAATGGAGCTGGAGGAATCAGGCTGCCTGACTTCAGACTATACTACAAAGCTACAGTAATCAAGACAGTATGGTACTGGCACAAAAACAGAAAGATAGATCAATGGAATAGGATAGAAAGCCCAGAGATAAACCCATGCACATATGGTCACCTTATCTTTGATAAAGGAGGCAAGAATGTACAGTGGAGAAAGGACAGCCTCTTCAATAAGTGGTGCTGGGAAAACTGGACAGGTACATGTAAAAATATAAGATTAGATCACTCCCTAACACCATACACAAAAGTAAGCTCAAAATGGATTAAAGACCTAAATGTAAGGCCAGAAACTATCAAACTCTTAGAGGAAAACATAGGCAGAACACTCTATGACATAAATCACAGCAAGATCCTTTTTGACTCACCTCCCAGAGAAATGGAAATAAAAACAAAAATAAACAAATGGGACCTAATGAATCTTCAAAGCTTTTGCACAGCAAAGGAAACCATAAAGAAGACCAAAAGAAAACCCTCAGTATGGGAGGAAATATTTGCAAATGAAGCAACTGACAAAGGATTAATCTCCAAAATTTACGAGCAGCTCATGCAGCTCAATAACAAAAAAACAAACAACCCAATCCAAAAATGGGCAGAGGACCTAAATAGACATTTCTCCAAAGAAGATATACAGACTGCCAACAAACACATGAAAGAATGCTCAACATCATTAATCATTAGAGAAATGCAAATCAAAACTACAATGAGATATCATCTCACACCAGTCAGAATGGCCATCATCAAAAAATCTAGAAACAATAAATGCTGGAGAGGGTGTGGAGAAAAGGGAACACTCTTGCACTGCTGGTGGGAATGTGAATTGGTTCAGCCACTATGGAGAACAGTATGGAGGTTCCTTAAAAAACTACAAATAGAACTACCATATGACCCAGCAATCCCACTACTAGGTATATACCCTGAGGAAACCAGAATTCAGAAAGAGTCATGTACCAAAATGTTCATTGCAGCTCTATTTACAATAGCCCGGAGATGGAAACAACCTAAGTGCCCGTCGTCGGATGAATGGATAAAGAAGATGTGGCACATATATACAATGGAATATTACTCAGCCATAAAAAGAAACGAAATTGAGCTATTTGTAATGAGGTGGATAGATCTAGAGTCTGTCATACAGAGTGAAGTAAGTCAGAAAGAGAAAGACAAATACCATATACTAACACATATATATGGAATTTAAGAAAAAGAAAATGTCATGAAGAACCTAGGGGTAAGACAGGAATAAAGACACAGACCTACTGGAGAACGGACTTGAGGATATGGGGAGGGGGAAGGGTGAGCTGTGACAGGGCGAGAGAGAGGCATGGACATATATACACTAACAAACGTAAGGTAGATAGCTAGTGGGAAGCAGCCACACGGCACAAGGATATCGGCTCGGTGCTTTGTGACTACCTGGAGGGGTGGGATAGGGAGGGTGGGAGGGAGGGAGACGCAAGAGGGAATAGATATGGGAACATATGTATATGTATAACTGATTCACTTTGTTATAAAGCAGAAACTAACACACCATTGTAAAGCAATTATACTCCAACAAAGATGTAAAAAAAAAAAAAAGAAGAAAATGGAATCAAGGAATTTGCTTTAACTTTAATAATGGCTATTACAGTCTCCTCCCTACATTAGGGCATGCAGCCCAGCCCCCAGCCCAGCCCCTTTCTTCTCCTTTAACTCACCTTGGCATTGGCAGTATCAAAAATAGTTTCAATGAGTAAGATATCAACCCCACCATCCAGAAGCCCTTTGGCCTGCTCTCTGTATGCTTCAACGAGTTCATCAAACGCTGCAAAAAACAAACCACACCCAGGATATTAATCATGGACATCCTCTGAAAGCCCAGGACACGCTGAGTTCAGGCCTGGTGCCAGGTGAACTGACCACTGCTGGTTTATAATGCATAATTTAAGGGCAACACCACCTTTTGTAAGAAACATGGCAGTGATGGAAGTTGAACCAGCAAATTGAACACAGATGCTCCTAAACACTTAGCACACGGGCTCACTTCCCATGTGTGAGCCGAGAATGAGTGGCTAGGTGGAGAGGTGTATGATTTCTTGAGCCCTGGCTCTTACTTTTAAGATCTTTAACATAGATCTTTCCGGGGATGGTGTTAATCAATTCAGGGATGAGTGTGAGGAACAACAGGAGAAACGTGTCACACTGATCTGGATACAACACCGGTTGCATCACATTCTCTCACGCCCTCTAGGGTAAAAGTCTGCAGTCCTGTAGATTTTGCTCCTGCCCTCTGACACCAACTCTGTCAGAGAAGAAACCTGCCTGGGGGACAATTTCACTCTCAAACACAAAGTGTCTAATCACTCCTAGGTAAAATTTTTGTTAGAAACGTCTTGTCTACTTCCATCTGAGAGGTCACCCCTCTCCCCATTAGATCTCTCACCCAAGAAAGAAAAGATGCTCATATATTCAATAGAGAAGCCTACTTCATCCTATTCAGCAGAAGAGACAGGAAACGTCACTGCCACACGTCAGCCCAGAATGAGCAACCCCCGGTGGAAAAGTGTGGTATCTGTCACCAAAACCTACAATCCACATTTGCCTGAACTTGTCTTCTACACAGAACTCATTACCACTCATAGCATCATTACTATTCTGCTCTGATCATTTAATACTTTTTGTTTTTTTGTAGTCTGATGCTTAAGAAATTGACCTAGATTTCTAGACTTTTCATACACTCTCAATGCAAGTATGCTTATAGATGGTGGTTTACAACGTTTACAATGCTAGTATGCATATATAGCTTAGACTGCTTTCTGATAAATAAAGTGGGAGTCTAGTGGGTTATTCTATAACTGACCAAGACCTGGTATCTATATTTGCTCAACGTCTCAGTTTAAAGTTTTATTTTGATTGGTTTCACTTCCGCAGCTCATAAAGAAGCCCAAACACAACAACATGCACCTCTGAAAGCAGGCTCAAAATGCGTAATACTAATACTATGACTAATACTAGCTCACTTTTTATTTTAATGTCTACTACATTCCAGGGACTGCTGTAAGCCCTTAAGTCACAATAATCCTTAAGTAGATGCTGGTATTGGGCCCATTTTACAGATTTATAGATTACTGAAACACAGAGGTACTTGCCCAAGGTCAATAATTATATCTCATACTCACTGATGTTCCTGTAATCTGGTCTTTCCACAGATGGGGACACAGAGAGTGTCTTGTTAGTTGGACCCAGAGCTCCTGCCACATACCTCTTAATTCCTGTAGGAAAAGAAAAACAAGTGTGAACTCTCTAAACAGCTCATAAGTTAATACGCTATCAGATTTCCCCTAGAACACAGGTATACGATCCTTTGTCCCTAACTCTGAAATCCAAAAAGCACAAAAGCCCCACTTTCTTCCTTAATTCATTTGACAACAAAACTTGACCTCTCCTAAACTACAAGAGGCTATTTATAGTCTTTACCTCACTTAGTGGACGATTCACAGATTTTACTGCAAACAGATGTTTGATTATGAGGCTGTCCTGGATCCCACTGAGGAAATTGTGAAATATAAAGTATGTGCACATGTTACCACCAAGCCAACCCAAAAAACTCTGAATTCTCACACATGTGGCTTCAAAGAATTTCAGTTAGTAATCCTTTTCTATCACCATAGCTAGGCTTGGACAAATGCTCTCTCTCCCTACTCTTAAGAAACTCTGAAGGTCGTGAACATAGGTTTTGCAAAAGTTCTTCACAGTAGCATTGATCTTGAAATGCTCTCCACTGCTGTACTGCAGGGCCTTTGCTGGGGGAAAATATTAAATCACGATTAACAATTATAAAGCCTGAAATTCAAGTATGAAGCAGATCAAATCTCACATTAAAACTCTTTCATGAATGTTTTAATAAGCTTTCCTCTAGGCTAGAGTCTAGGTGCTTCTAAAGGAGCCGGAGATATTGTGTTCCTTACATATGGGAACACAGGGCAGGGCCGTAGTGCTCATCACCTTTGGTGGTTTTAACCAGGTGGTTATGCTTTACCATCTAACTGGAGCAAACTACCCACTAGCTGATAGCCCAGGCTTTGAACAGCTTACAAGCCCCGATATTCTTTATCTTCCCCAAAGCTGAACAATAACGTGGGTGTAAGAAAAACGTCCTTGTCTTTCCCTGCTTTAGCTGGTTTGATAGCCTCTGACCTGTGACTTTGTTGGGGCAACAGTCTATGCCCTTCCGATTTCAACATTATCTCTCAGAAACGGAGCTCCTATAAATTGCTTCAGTCTTCATTAGTATGCTGTGTCTAACTTCCCAACAATTTTGCTTTACTTCTTCCCTGTTGGCAATAATTTCACGTTTCCAAATCTTAAGGGGCAGGTATTTCTTCCATTCCTTTCCCACCCTCAAAGCCTCCCCTGCAGCTGGTACCCAAGTGTTCTATGGCAGCCAGCCAGGAGGCTAGTTATTTCAGGGAGGCACTTTTCAAATCCCAGTAAGACTGATTCTCATGCCACCCTCTTTGTGTGCTACACAGCGCCTTCAAAGACACTAGTGGTATGAAGTAGAAGACACTCAAAAGACAATCTCTCTTTACCTAAATAAGGCAAAATCACAGGGATGAGGGAAGCTTTCAAGGGAGAAGATCAAATATCTTAATGATCACCAATGTAACCAAAACAGCTGTGCCTCAATAACCAAAAGACGTACTTCCAAAGGGAAACAAATCATTTTAGCTGTAAATGTACAAGGAAGTCATAGTTCTAGCTACAAAGTTAGGATAAAACACCCAGCAGAGTAAACACAGCGTAAACCCTGAGCCCAACGCCCAAGGAAACAGAGTCAATTCAGAGGGACACCGAATGCTTGACTATGAAACTGCAGAGAAGTAACCTACAAACAAGTACGTGATGGTGTCTGCAGTGCTGCTGTAGGCCAACTGTCGCAAAAGGAAAAAGGGCAGTAAGGACAGTATATTATAGCTGAGGATGTCAAAGGAAACATCTTTGTTAAAAAAAAAAAAAAAAAGGAGAAAACTGTTCCTTACCTGTCTGGAGAGTTATCTCCTCAGCTGCTTTTCTGGCCACTCCCGCAGAGCACTTGTTCATCCTGTAGGCCTAACACATCAACTGCAAATGTCAGTTTGTCCTTCTTTCCCTCCATAAAATAAATAAGGAATTCATGACCTTCTACAGCACAGTTTTATTCAGTAAGGAAAGGTGGAGTGAATTAGTTTGAGGTCTGAATGAAATCTTAGTCAAAAAGGCCTACCAGCGGCCCCAGCCTTGAGGGCGACAGGAAAGGCAAGAGTCTTTGGGAACTGCTTTTACGGTCTTCCACAGAACCATGAGCCAGCTGGCAAAAAGGGCAATCCCTGGACGCCTGGCATGTCAGAATAAGCTAATGTAGTGAAATATTCTGAGAGTTAGAAAAAAGCATAGTATGGAAAAAGCAGGGGCTTCAGAGACAGAAGACCTGGGTTCTAAAACCAGCTCTGTCACTACCTGCCCAGGTGGTTCCCTTAGGAACTCCTCCAGGTCCTGGCTTCCTATACCGTACAATGGTGGCAATCAGTGGGTCTCAAGTTTTTGTAGATTATGAAACGCTTGAGAATTTGGAGAAGGGCCATGAACCCTCTCACTAGGAAATAAAGCAAGCATGCAGAAACATACAAAGTAGTGCCAGCAAGTTTTATCGGAAAACACTCAAGCCCATTCATTTACGTATTGTCTGTTGCTGCTTTTGCACTATAATGCTAGCGTTGAGTAGTTGCAAAAGAGACAGTACTAGCCAACAAAGCTTAAAATATTTACTGTCTGGTCCTTAACGGAAAATGTTTGCCAACTGCTGCCCTCAAATAATTCCCTTGATAACCCACAAGGCAAGTGATTTCACAAAGCCCCATCACCATGAGGGAAAACAGTGTCAGAGAACTCAGGACTATGTGCATGAACACAGAGGCAAGTTCTGGAAAAATCCCACCCAGAAATGGGGACCTCCCACCCAGAAATGGGGAGCTCAGCATCTACCATATATTTTCATCATTAACAGTTTACAAAACTTGAATATGGAAGCATCCTGTTGACTAAAAAGAAATGAAATCCTTTACCCCACACCCACTAGGATGCCTACTATCAGGAAAAAACAAAAACAGAAACAGAACAAATGCTGGCAAAGATGTGTAAAAACTGGAAACCTTGTACACTATTGGTGGGTACACAAAATGATGCAGCCACTGTGGAAAACAGTATGGTGGTTTTGCAAAAAATTAAACATTGAATTAGTGTACAATTCGGCAGCTCTACTTCTGGTTATGTATAGATACTCAAAGGAAATGAAAGCAGGGATGAAGAACAGATTATCTGTACACCGTGCTCATAGTAACATTGTTCACAGTAGCCATAAGGTGGAATCAGCCCATGTTCCTCAGTGGATGAATGAATAAACAAAATGTGGTATATCCATACAGTGGAATATTATTCAACCTCGAAAGAGTACGATATTCTGATACATGCTACAATATCAGTGAACCTTGGGGACATTAAACTAAGTGAAACAAGATAAGTCACAAAAGGACAAAAACTGTATGATCCACTCATATAAGGTAGCTAGGGGAGTTAAATTCATAGAAACAGAAAGTAGAACGGTGGTTTGTAAGGGCTGAGGTGGAAGGGAAAATTGGGAATTATTGTTTAATGGGTACAGAGTTTAAGTTCTACAAGGTGAAAAGAGTTCCACGGACAGATGGTGGTAACGGTAGCACAACAATGTGAATGTACTTAATGACACTGAACTGTACACTTAAAATTGGTTAAAATAGTAAATTTTATGTTACGTGTATTTTTCCACAATTTTTTTAAGAAAGGAAACCAAATCTGTCACCCAACTTAAAAAGGCTTCACAGAACTGCGCACATGGCCAATCATTATGCTGTTATTCAGTCACTGCATAATGAGTATCGTTTTTATTTGATTATTACTTGCCCATAAAGAAACCAGCTAGAAAATGAATGGGCTGTTGTGTTTATAAGCAGAAGCCATTCTAACCATTTTCCCCATCTGACCACAAATAACAGATAACTAGGCATTAGCTTGACTCTGCAGCTTTGACTGGTTTTCTCACTAGCAATTACCAGTGCAGCAAACGCTCATGAATATCTTAGATACAAGGAAAAATGAAATCCTTACCAAGTGTTCGAGGCCATAGTCAGCTTGGGCAATAGCAGTGCTGCTAAAAGTATTTGTTTCAATGATATCTGCCCCAGCCAGCAAGTAATCCTGCCACAAGAGAAAGTAATGTCAATGCTATGAGTTTTAGAATCCCTGTCCCCCAACAATAAACTAATCTTTTCCTCACCAAGGCCACCAAACATCTTTTGACCACTTACTAAGTGCAAGGCACTGTACTAGATAGAGGCTGGGGATGCAAAAAGACATAAGGATTTCATAGAAAGGCCTGTGATACGAATAAATAAACACAGAACTTGAATTCAGACAAAGTTCACTTGCGGTGTGAATTGAGTCAAGTTCCTTAAACTCTGAGTTTCAGTTTCCTCATTTGAAAATAGTATAACCCTACTTCACCGGGTGGCCAGATGATGGTACAGATCACACACCAAGCTTCTGGCACACGATGGCCAAGGAACATTCCTTCTGTTCCTTTGCCAGCTCTCTACTTCAGCATAGTCAGAACCCCACTGAGAAGGGCACTATCTCTGCAGTCTTGATTCTGACCACTGTTGTTTCAGGGCACAGCTCCTGGTCCCTCTGAGCCACATCTGCACCCTTACGAAACCCTGAGGACCTCGGTGCCCTCCGGTTCTCCCTGTTTGAAACATTTCTGCCTTGTTTCACTCTTTGGACACCACCTCAACCTCAATCCGATGAAAATTCTGGAATCTCTTGATTTTCCAATAGTGAGTAAGCCCAACCCCACCTAAGCAGATGGACACTGTTTGCAGAAGAGCTGGGAAATGAAAACCAAGATTCACACATTTATAATAAGTCACAAACATCCCAACTATCTATCACTAGGGAAATGACTAAATAAACTATAATATGTCCATTTCATTACATGCTATGTGGCAGCTAAAAAACAGTGTGCACATATATCTACATACATTAACACGGAAAATCTCCAAAAGTATTGAGTAGAAAAACAAAATTGACTGATAGGTGAACCATGACACCATTAAGTTTAAAACATACATACACACAAATAGTACTGAGTTTTCTACAGATATCTATATGTATACACGTACATACGTAATATATACATATACATAAATACATAACAAATGATCTGGAAAGACATACATCAACTAGTATAAGTGGTTATCTCTGGGGAAAAAATAGAAATTTGGAGTAGTGGTTAAAAGGGAATTTATTCTTATCTGTGGGTTCTGTTTTATAAGAACAAATTAAAATTTAGTTTTTCAACAAAGAGCAAGAAAAACTGAAAACAACCTTAATGCCTAAGAATAAGGTTAAGTAAATGATGATATATATGTAGAATAGATTATTATGAAGTTATTAAAACCATGTCTCAGGATATTTAATGCTCATGGTATTAAGTAAAAAATGCGAATTATAAAATAGTATGAAGCAATAATATTCCCAATTTAATTTTAAAAATCCAAACACAGAAAACTAGACTGAAATATAAATTAAAATATGTGAATGGCAATTATGTCTTGGTATCAATATTACAGGTGGTTTTAATTTTCTCCTTTATGCTTTCTATAGCATCTAGCTAGACATTTTATTTTTGTAACAATGAACACGTATTGTCTTTATAATTAGAGAAAAAATATTTCTAAATTCCTAGTTATTATTTTCTCCAATTGTGTGTAGATTTAAAATTTTAAATAATATAAAGTTTAAAAGGTATTTCTTCTAGCTCTTCACCCTTTCTCTCCACCTTCTTTCCCAGAACAATATCCCACTCATGGGCTCCGGATATGACACCCCTGAGATTCCAAGCCTATTCTCACCAATTTAAAACACGGGTGATATAGGCAAGCTACTTAATTTCTCCTTAGTTTTCCCATGAACCAATAGAAAGCTGTCAAGATTAAAGGAGGCCATTAATGACAGCAAGGCCACAGGCTACCAACAGGTGTTTTAAATATTGGTTCCTGTTGGTCTCAGCCTATCAACAGTGATGGGCTAGGAATGCCTGATGCACTCACATAGGCCCTTACCGCCTGTGCTGAGCCAGGACCGAGCCAATGCCACAGCTACACTGGCGCTACTGGTTCTTATTATAAGACTCACCTCAGCAACAACCATCAGGGAACTTTTGAAAAAAACAAGGTTTATTACTCACAGGCATGCCCGGGCCATACAGTGAGGTAGCTGGGGGAAGGCGGGGGTTGGGCAGGAATGACGGAGAAAACCGGGGGTTCTGCTTTTATTGGGGTCAATGCAGGGGTGCCTAGGGTTTTGTGGGTTCACTCTTTATTGGAGAACTTAAAACCTAAGAGCAGAAATTAGGGCTCAGGAAGGAAAAAGCAGGGTAATTCATCGAGGTTACCCAGGGCTTTCTAAAAAAGGAATTTCATGGCTGGGGGAAGCCTGGTTCCTGATCTGGCTGTTTAGCTAGCAGATGTGTCACACAGCTGGCAGGGTGTTTATTGACATGGATGCCTCTGAAACGATGCCTCCGCAACCAAAAGCTTAATGTCAGGCACTTACATTACAATCAAAAAAGCTTAGTGTCAGACACTTGCACTTCAAATAGGACCTGGCCATTCCATTAAAATTAAGTATCAGGGGATCAGCTCTATGGTCAGTAACTCCACTAGAAATAACTAAGTGTGAAAATAACCCAGTCTTTTTCCCTTCCTCATCCATGAACATGACACAGTCTCTATATCCAGAGAACTCCAGCTAGTCAATATTCCCCCACGAATGGGACAGCTAGGTTACACCTTATGGTATTTACAGTCACTTTTGCTTTATGTCCCTATCTTGGGAAACTTGCTGTTCTATCTACATGCCTATCTAACTCACAGGACAAAAATTCGTTCCCTCAAAAAACATTTACTGGGCCTTCCCTGGTGGCACAGTGGTTAAGAATCCGCCTGCCAATGCAGGGGACAAAGGTTTGAGCCCTGGTCCGGGAAGATCCCACATGCCGCAGAGCAACTAAGCCCGTGTGCCACAGCTACGGAGCCTGCGCTCTAGAGCCTGTGAGCCACAACTACTGAGCCCGACCAACAACTACTGAAGCCCGCGCTCCTAGAGCCCGTGCTCCACAGCCAGAGAAGCCACCGCAATGAGAAGCCCGTTCACCGCAACGAAGAGTAGCCCCCGCTCACTGCAACTAGTGAAAGCCTGCGTGCAGCAACAAAGACCCAATGCAGCCAAAAATAAATAAATAAATAAAATTTATTTAAAAAAAAATTTACTGACTTACTATGTGCAAGATACTGTTTTAGGCAGTAGGGATTCAGTAGTGAAATGCAGGCCCAAATTCCTGCCCTCAGGAAGCTCATACTCTAGTGATAATCCACTTGAATAAGGAAAAAGCCACACGTCATGGGCTGGGCTGTATGTCCGGGGTTGGGGGAGGGTGGTGATTTCACCAACTGCATAATAAGAACTGATGTTTGTAACCACGCCAAGCAATTCATACCCATGATGGCATTCCCAATCCACAATATACTGGAATTTTATAATACAATTTGACTACATAGTCTCAGGCCTCGCAGAAAAACTCGTAGAACCAAAACTCTTCAAGGACCAATTTAAAATCTTCCAGTAACTACAATTTCCATTATGACCAAAGGAAAGGCATTCCTAGTTCTTCTTCAAATGAAAACCATTCTGCATCTTATCTAGAACAAAATCTTGACCACCCAAGAGAAGGATCCTTTCCACCCTCAATGAATCATTTAATCACTGATTCGTTTGAGGTTTTTTTCTTTAAGAAGAGTCTGAAAGGCAACAAAAGCAAAAAATAAATAAGTGGGACTTATATCAAACTAAAAAGCATCTGCATAGCAAGGGAAACCATCAACAAAATGAAAACGCAACCTACTGAATGGGAGAAAATATTTGCAAATCATGTGTCTGATAAGGATATCCAAAATAGACAAAGAACTCATACAACACAGTAGCAAAAAAAAATCCAAACAATCCAATTCAAAAATGGGCAGAAGACGGGACTTCCCTGGCGGTCCAGTGGTTAAGACACCACACTTCCACTGCAGGGGGTGCAGGTTCAATCCCTGCTCAGGGAACTAAGATCCTACATGCCTCGCAGCACGGCCAAAAAAAAAAATGGGCAGAAGATCTGAAGAGACATTTTACCAAAGAAGACATACAGATGGCCAACAGGTACATGACAAGATGCTCAACATCACTAATCATCAGGGAAAATGCAAATTAAAACCACAAGATATCACCTCTCACCTATCAGAATGCCTATTATCAAAGAAATAACAAGTGTTGGCGAGGATGTGGAGAAAAGGGAATCCTCTCGCACTGTTGGCAGGAATGTAAATTTGTGCAGCCACTATGGAAAACAGAATGCACGTTCCTCAAAAAATTAAAAATAGAACTACTATATGATCCAGCAACTCTATTTCTGGGTAATATCCAAAGAAAACAAAAACACTAACTCTAAAAGACAGATGCACTCCCATGTTCACTGCAGCATTATTTACAGTTACCAATATATGGAGACAATCTAAGTGTCCACTGATGGCTGAATAAAGGAAATGTTATATGTATATGCAATGGAATATAACTGAGCTATAAAAAAGAAGGAAGGTGGTTGCCAGAGGTGGAGGGTGGAGGGGAGGGGAAATGGATGAAGGGGTCAAAAGGTACAAACTTCCAGTTATAAAATAAATAAGTCATGGGGATGTAATGTACAACATGGTGACTATGTTTAATACTACTGTATTGTATATTTGAAAGTTGCTAAGAAAGTAGATCTTAAAAATCCTCATCACAAGGAAAAAAAAATTGCAACTGTGTAGGGTAACGCATGTTAGCTAGACTTACTATGGTGACCGTTTCACAATATATACAAATTTCAAATCATGACGTTGTACACCTGAAACCAATGCTATGTTCTTTGTCAATTATGCCTCAATTTTTTAAAAATAGTCTGAAACACCTATAACAATGCCCTTCTCCAAAAGATAAGACTTTCTCACTTCCCTGGTAAATATGTTTGTCCTTGAAATTGAATCCAGACCAGAAAAACAGATTAAATCACTTTATTATCTCTTCTAGTCATAATCCTATGAAATTCCCATGATAACCTATGAAACAGTTTAGTCCTACACTATTTTTAAATTTTAAAAGTCTAGCAATACCCAGTTACTTGCTTCTGATTTCTTTATGTTGGCTAGCCATTTTTATTTATTTATTTATTTTTGGGTCATGCCACACAGCTTGCAGGATCTTAGTTCCCTGACCAAGGCCAGTCATTTTTATTAAAGACAGGAAAATGGCATGAAAGAACACGGGTTTTCAAGTCAGTAAACCTCTGTAACGTCAGGCAAGTTATTTAAACTCTGAGGTGCTCAGTTTCCAAATCTACAAAATGAGAATAACAACTACCTTTCAGTTTTACTTCATCAGGGCTGTTGTGGTGACTTAAATAAGTTAGTGTAGGTAAAAACCCTAATTTGTCCAGGATTTTATGGTTTTTCACTGTCGTTGAAATGCCTCAAAGGCAGAAAACCTGCCCTCCTCATTTCCTTATCTTGAATGCTCAATACGACTTTTATATGGTGCCCAAAACCTGCTTTCTGAATAAGCCACCTCTATCTGAACAAATCACCCCTTTCTTCTCTCTCCCCCAGAGCACTTGGCCCAGTGGTCTGCCCTCAGGACACCAAAGGCCTTTCGGAATGACAGGATGAAAATATAAGAACCTGGGGGTGCTTTACCTTATGGATTTGGTAAATGACATCGGGCTGAGTTATACTTAAAATGTCATTGTTGCCTTTCAGGGGCCTGGCGTGATCTTTAAATTCTTGTCCTCGGAAGTCGTCTTCACTCAGCTTGTGCCGCTGGATCATGGTCCCCATCCCTCCGTCAAGCACCATAATCCTCTCCCGCAGGATGGTGTCAATCTCATCCTGCAGGGTCTTCTTCATTCCTGCTTTAAAGAACGTGAAAATCGGACTTCCTCTCCCGCAGGATGGTGTCAATCTCATCCTGCAGGGTCTTCTTCATTCCTGCTTTAAAGAAAGTGAAAATCGGACTTTACAAAATGAAAGGGGGAAAACGTGTGTGGAGAGGGAGTGTAGACTAAATTATACTAATTCACAACAGGGAGTAAATGGGGCTCATAAAACATGTGCTTGTAACCTTGAGGCATTTGAAAAATGCTGCCCCAGAATGTTTACATTAAATAACAATGCGTAATGAAACAGGACACTGTACACAGCACAGAATCACTGGTAAAGCACCACACCAAGGTTAGAGTAGGCTCTAGTTGTTCCTGTTTCGAAGATGAGCAAAACAGGCAGCAAAGAGCCCAGTGTTAACAAGGCCAGGCCACCTGCCGGAGAACATCTTTAGGGCTCTCTGTTGGTTCTGTGCATGCGTCCCCTCAATAAGGAGATTTAGCTTGATAATTGAAAGCCATCAATAATTCCAAACTGCCATTTAGACTGTTAACTTTGACGGTCTCTCCCACCTACTGCCAGAACTCACGTAGCCTACACACAGGGTTTCCCTCACCCCTGCTCCACCTCTGGACTGATGACTGCCTAACACCCTAGAGCTTCTCAACTCTCCCTGTGCCCTTGACTTCTCCTAATTCCCGGTCCTCAAAAGCCCCAAGGGCCTACTCCTTCCAATCCTACTTTATGGTCTCCAAGAACTACTGGAAAGCCACAAAACCATGCTGTTTGGAGTCACTGAAAATTCCTAACATGGAGCCTCTTGTTTGGTTCACCTTTTCTCGGCGCTCTCAACACTTCCCACACCTGCTGTCCCAAACCTCTGCTTGCTTTTGGCACCAAATCCTTCTCATCCTTTTCACTCACAGGTGATTTCACCTAATCCGGTACAAAAGAGTCTTCTTTGGGGAGCTCCTCAAATTCACCCCCCTCCACCTCAAAATCCTCTTGCAGCTCGGCTCCCTCTGCACTTAAAGAAGAGCACTTGACCAGCTCCACCCACACCTCCCACTGCTCCTCCCTTCCAACTCTGCCCCCCCACCCCCCTACCCCCGCCAACCCCGTGCAGCTCTAGCTCAACCTGTCTTCTCACTGTGGCTTCCTCCTCTGCCTCTCTACCGCAATTCCTCTCCAAAGGCCCCTACCCCCGCCAACCCCGTGCAGCTCTAGCTCAACCTGTCTTCTCACTGTGGCTTCCTCCTCTGCCTCTCTACCGCAATTACTCTCCAAAGGCACCCACGACCTTCGAATTCTCAAACACTGGCTCCAGTCTTAGACCCAGATTTCAAGGTGTCCACCTGTGATGGTCCCCTAAAATACCCACCTGCCCCTCAATCTATTATCCAAATCCAAACCTGCCAAATTTCCTGTCTGATCTCCCTGTTTCTGTGAATGGCACCACCCTTCCCAGAAGCCTGACCTGACAACCTCAGTGTCATCTGACTCCTCACTCGCCCTGATAACCAGAATCTACTCAGATCTCAAGCCCTACAGATCCGGCATCCAAAATGCCATTCATGGACTTCCCTGGTGGTCCAGTGGTTAAGACTCCACACTTCCACTACAGAAAGGGGGCATGGGTTTGATCCCTGGTCGGGGAACTAAGATTCCACATGCCAAGTGGCATGGCCGAAAGAACCCCCCAAAACCAAAATTGGCATTCACATTGGGCCCACCTTCCATCCCCAGTGCCACCCTTTCTTCAAGCCCTTACTACACATCCCAGCCATCAGAGATCCTCTCTGAGCTTCAGTTTGCATCCATGAAAACTGAGAATAACAATACCTGCTCATCCTATCTCATGGAGTTATCTTACGCGTTAAATGGGATCAGATATGAAGATGCTTTGTAAAAAATCATGTGTCCTACAAAGGTAAGAGATCACGACCACCGGGGTGACTGTACCTGGTCACCCTACATTCCAACCCATCCTATGCACCACGACCAGATTCATCTTCCTAAAGTACAAGTTTAAACCAGCTGCTTCCCTTCCTCAAAAACCTTCACCAATCCCCTACTGCCGGGCTTCCCTGGTGGCACAGTGGTTGAGAGTCCGCCTGCCGATGCAGGGGACATGGGTTCGTGCCCCGGTCCGGGAAGATCCCACATGCCACAGAGCGGCTGGGCCCGTGAGCCATGGCCGCTGAGCCTG